AGAGCAACAACCTCATCGGACCTGGTCGACAAGCCGCCCTCCACCTCTTTAACGCTCTGCTTAAGGTGGTCCAGGTCGGCGCGTAGTAACATTGTGCAATTAGCCACCTCTGCTCTCTGCTCTCACCGCTTGTAACTCTCCTTTAAAAAGAATAAACGCTTCAGCCAAAGCCACTTTAATTTCAGATTTGATCGCAGCTGAGAGATCGGTTTTTATAGCGGCAAGAATGTCAGACTTCAAGGAGAGTGCGTCCACCTCGCCGCGGTAGGGAGAATCAGGTGCCGAAAATCCGGCTTTAGCTGCAGTCTGCTCCGAGGCGGCGTCGGGCCTAACAGCCGCAGAGCAAGAATGTTTGCCTTTCCTCGAGTTTGTCGCCATTCTTCTACTCTTCCAGGCAAGAATCACTCAGGGGTCGAATCCGGACAGACCAAATGCTCAAAACAGCAAGGACATTTAGTAGAGAACCACAAACAGAACAAGTCGGAGCGGGAGCCCACGCGACACACGTCTTACTCCTCCGCCATCTTGCCCCGCCTCCCAAAAGATTCTTATGTTTGAGATAGACTTTATATTACACTTAATATTTTTTTCTCATACGTACAACACATTGACAACTAGACAACATTTCAACACTTTGTCTTCCCGTTGTTAACATGTTATTGACATATCATCTACAGTAACCCTTTCTTTTACCTTCCCCTAATTACCATGTGATTATGTAGTATTTACATGTTAATTAATAACATTTTACTATGTAATTACTTGGTAATTACGATAATTTACCATGTAATTACTTAGTAAGAAAATATGTTTTATATGTTTGTATTCTTCTGGATAATAATATATAGTTGAGGTATAACTGAACAATAATTTGAAGTAGTTTTACTAACATAGTACTTTACAGGTAATGCCATGGGAATTATGGACTACATTTTTATTTATATTATGTGGAAATTTAGTTGGTTGTTTATTGGTAAATGCTGGGTAATTGATGTACTATTAAGATCACAAAATCATTTTATTTGCATAGTAATTTTGTAAGTACACACCTTATGATAATGTAGGGGTTTTAAATGCTAGAATTCTGAAATGGATAATTTGTGAATATATTTAAATATATTATATTTCAAAATATTATTCCTCGGAGCACCACATTCTTAATTCGATCAGATAYTGACCCAGGAAAGAAATGAAAAACTGTAGCTTTATTGTAATCAGTCTCAGAATAAATTTACCCAAATTGATTTATGAGTTATTTTCTTATCAGAACCAGAATATCTTCATCAAGACACAAAAATGAGATTAGCTTATGTTGGCACGTTCCCCACGGGCCATTTATTTACAGATTAAATGTATTTACAACTATGGCAAGTAATGAATGAATAATGACATGTTTGAACCACGTAAAACTGTGAGAGTTTGTTATCACGAGTGAATAAACAAACAGACAAACGAAACAAACAAACATGTAAACAAAAATAAACACTGAGAAGTGAGTTTGAGACTAGGAGTGAGGTGAGATAAGCTGCTTAGCTGTGGTTGTTTTTAACTAGGGGCTCCTAGTTAAATTAAGATCGAGAAAAACATTTAGTTTACCAAATCTCCTACAAAGATAAAAATCAAATTTACATCTGAGCACCTGTGTATGTTTCACCAAGACAAGTGATCACCTTTACCCTTGTTATTCTGCCGTGTGGGTACCAGGAGGGAAGTCAGCGGTGGAAGGTCATCTCTGGAGTTCGTTCTCCAGACAGCTCTCCATGCAAACTGGACGTCAGGCGGTCTGCCTGGTAAACTCAACTGGTCCCTTGGTCAGAAAAGGATTTTCTCTCTCTCTGGTGACTTGGGAGTCTGGTCCTTCACAGGTGGCTGTAAGATTTTGATTTGATCTTCACTTTGTAGGAAAAACGGACTAAAACGACGGTTGAATTGCCATTGGCTTATTTAACTCCTACAAAAATCAAAACTCAGAGATTGAGTCGACGTGTGACGGACGAGCTATTCGAACTATCAGCGGAGATGTTGAATGACCCCCCCTCCCCATCCTGGTCAGCAAAAGGGAGGGCTGGCAAAGGGGGTCTCTGCTTAGCTGTAGAAGCTGTTTCTGGCTTCAAAGAAAAACTAAAACTTGTCTGACTGAACTGCATGTCTGCACTAACTTTTAAGACCTCTGTTATGGGCGGAGTCAAGGTTTTAGTTAGCCAACTGAAAAATTTACCAAAGTTTTTAACAAATCAAATGTTTGGAGGGAAAAACATTTTCTTCAATACAAAGGATGGGAGTGTTTTAGTCTAATTATCTTGCATTTAATTAAAGGGAGAAGACATATGCTTTACCTCAGTAAAATAAGAATGTCCATTTAGTTAAATTCAAACCTAAAGTTTTCTAAGGTTAACTCTCGTAATAACACAGTTTAAAAGAAACATCTTTTTTCAGGAAAACATTTCATCAAAAAAAAACACACACAGTTAGAACAATGTCCTTGGTGGGCAAACACAGTTGAAAAGAGGACAGAGTAGTTTTTTTCTTTATTTAATCAAGCTTGTGGTTTCCTTTGTTCAAGTCATGCTGAAGAGTCTGGCAAAAGCATTTATGACACCCCCCCTTTGAAGAGGAGCAAACAGGCTTGTCCTTATCGTCAATCCAACTTGTCGGGTTCAGGAATGTGGCCATCCTTTATCTGATAATGAGGCGTCAGGAAGTCTGGTGGGGGTTGGTGTAAGATATGCTAATTCAAAGCATAGAAGGAAACATGACAGATTCTTGAAAAAGAAGTCTGAAATGAGTTGATTTGATCTCTTCCTTTAAACAGTCATTGAAACAAGTTATATCCATCAAAAGTTATTAATTGAAGGAGGAAAATGCTACAATAACATGGTAATTAGGCGACTGTAAAAATAAAGTTGGCAATTTTTTGGCAAACAATGAGTAATTGAGAAACAATTGAACTGTAATTTTACCCGCTAAAATTAATTTATTTACACAGTATTTTTAATATGTTCTTACCAAGTAATTACATGGTAAATTACTGTAATTACCAAGTAATTGCATAGTAAAATTATATTATTTACCATGTAACTCTCAGACTGAAGATGTCTCTTGGAGAAGAGACGAAACGTTTCATTAGAGAAGAACCCGTCCAGAAGACCTATACAATTTTTTTCTTTTTGATTTTTTACCTGGATTACTGAGATGCATCAGGATACTTACCATGTAAATGCTAGGTACTTGCATGGTAATGAGGGGACTGTAAAAGAAATGGTTTTCTTGTACATGTTAGAAGTCACATATATTTGAACTGGATGGCTTTCCATACAGGTAGAGGGTTGTACCTGTGCAGTTCAGTATGGATGACTGGTTCCAGATAGACAGCAACAGTTCATGTGTTGAGTTTGTGTTGTATATGCATTTAATACACATCAAATTTTCATGCAAATTAACATGTAACCAATGCATTAAGAGCATGAAAATAACTTGTTTTTATGTTTAATACACAGATTTTGCCTGTTTTTTTCCCTCTTTATTTCGTCAGATCAATCATTTTAATGTAATCCAGTGTAATATAGGCTGGTTCCAGATCTTGGGTCAGGTCTTGGATCTGATCTAGAGTCTGGGTTTTGAGGATCACATGAGTGGCTGCAGTTCCAGCAGTGGTTGAATTATGACCCATAGTGTTTCTTTCTTTTAGACCATTTTCTGATTTTGAAACAACAGAGACAAACAGCAGGTCAGGGTGGATAAATGGATCAACTAAACAGTGACATAGATATTTTTGATCTTTACCTGTTAGGTATGTTACTTTTAACAGTGGTGAGCAGCGCTAATTCAAAAATTAGCCCCACAATTTCTAACCCACTTATGAAAACATTTAGGTCTGCAACTTCAAAAGTGCTTATGCAATGGAAATATTAGCAGAAGCTAATTTTAAACCGCAGTTTCAATTTGACACTTTCAAGCTGGCTACAATTCATGTATGCTTTATGTACAATGCTTCCCACTGGTAGTGTATGAACCCTTGTACAGCTCATTTTACAACCACCGATTGCTGGGGATCTGATTTCCTGAAACAGAACTTTGGCTCATGGTGTAAAAATTAAAGACTTGTTCAGGCTTGCTAGTTCGGCTGATTCTTTAAAAAGTTGCTGAGGATTGCTAGTTCGGCTGCTTCTTTGTCTTTTTGTTTTGAGGCATCAATAAAGTAATTTTAAAACTGTTTATTGGAAAACTGAAGTGATGCATTCTAGGTGCATTTGTGATGGGAAACAAAAGCTCGGAGAACAGGAAACTAGTATCTTCCCTTCAAAATAAGAGCTTGGATTTTAGTTTTCCATGTTTCCGTTCACCTGAAGCTCATCAGAATGAAGAAGTCTCTTGGAGGAGAGACAAAACGTTTCACTAAAAAAATAAAATGAAATAAAAAAAATAAAAACATCCAGAGGACCTACTTATTTTTTCTTTTTGATTTTTTTTTACCTGGATTACTGAGATGCATCAGGATGTTTTCCATGTAGTTGCAGCTGCTCCAGTTGACCACTAGGTGTCAGTCTTCGTCAGCATAAGTCTATAACCCCGTTGCTTTGATCAATTATGTCAAGTATTGAGCTCCAGCGTTTAAACTTTTATTATTATTTTTTTTAAAAAGGGAGCTCCGATTGTAAAGCAAAATAAATCAATACATACAAAATTTTAGTATGTATTACAAACGTTTACTGTTTTTGCTGGGAAAGGGAGTTCTAAACATTGCCTTCCTGCTACGTAAGCAGACACAAAGCATTGTGGGAAATGTCTTTAAAATGTGGATGCCTGCTGGCTACTGAATATTGTCTTTTGCACTTTGTTTATTATAATTTAACAGAAGCCATGAGTCATTTAGATTGCTGCCAGCAAAAATACTTTGCAAAGCTGACCTACTAAAATGAGAACCGACTGAAGCGTGACCCAAAGCGACAGTCAGGAAGGACATATACCTTCCCAAATATAGTGTTTAGCTGGGAGGGGAGTTTTTGGGTGGATTACATGTGTTGATGTGAGTCTTGACAGTCATACCGTCTGCTGTTCAAGATAATGATAACTGGTAGATAATTAGTTATCAGTGGAACTGCAGTTTAAATTTAAGAAGTGCAAATCTGCTTATGAGTCACAAAAATTAGTAAGACTGCTAAAGTGAAAACAAAATGTTTAGGTCCACATTCAGAGAATTTGCATTTATGCAGACTCACTGGTGCCCACCACTGCTTTTAAACTATCTGTTACATGTTACCATTACTAAACTGCAGGTCTTTTGTTGTTTCCAGGTTAGTCGGTTCTTTGGTGAGGTAGACGGGTCTGTCATGGCTGCACTTATGAAGATGGGAATGTTCAAAAAGTACGAACTGATTCACTGTCAGTACGGTTCTGTCGACAGCTGTAACCAAACTTCATCTGAAGGTTTATTTCTTCTTGTTTTTAGAGTTTCACTGTTTGATTACCAGGCTATGTGTAAAAACAGCCACCATCATGCCAACAGTGCTCGACCCCTGCTCAGTGTGAGTCTCTTTACTCGTCACAGCCTTACATGGAACACAAGTTCTCACTGGAAATCAGTGGAAAGTTAAATGTTTGGCAAATTCTAAAAGTGTGAAAAGTTGCTCTCTTTTTGCAGCCATTTTATGTCATGCTTGCCATGATACGGTGGTTCTTCTCCAATGCTCTTATGTAAGTAGTGTGTGTTATGTTTTATTATTAATAAATAATGTGAGCAGAAGTTCAAAATGACATTTTAAGTGTACTCAATCAGAGAACAAATGAATGTTGTTCATGTATTGAATTAGTCATTGTTTTGTTTGCATCATGTTGTCATTTACAACTCAATGAGTTACCTGCTGTATTCCAGAGGAAATGTGTTTTTTTATTTATCTGTGTGTTTCCCGTCAGGTTTCTGCTGGACTTTAATCTTTGTGGTCTCTGGCACTCTGATTATTTTGTGGATGGTAGGATAATCTTGTCTGTTTGTCTTTAAATTCTGAAACAAATAAAATACACTCAACAGAACAGTTTAACATGTTTCACTTCTCATCCAGGGAACTGGAGTAGTGTAGAGTTTGGAGCTCCAAGCTTTAAACTGTAAGAGATGTTCCTTTTATGAAGCACATTAATCCCACTCCCCTCCCTCCTGAGGGTCATTTGGGTCTTGTTTGTATGAAGGTGTGAATTAGAGGGAATATGATATCAGGCTTTATGATCCAATGTAAGTTTGAGAAATCTGAATCTGAGACCTCCTACTTGTCAGGATTGTGGTGTTTTTGTTATATTCTTGGTTCTTTGTGTGTTGTGTTGATTCAACATGTTTAGTTGCTCTGTCTTTTCTCATTCCTCCTCTGTCAGCTCTGTGTTTTATTTCCTGTCTCTCAACCACCTGTTGGCCCTCCTTTATCAGACCAGCAGCTTCATGTTTCATGCTGTTCCCATATATTCTGTCTTTCTCCATTGCCACCTCAGCAGATCATTGTTTGGTTAATACCAGCAGTCTCTGTCCTACGTTTTCACCACACCTACAGTACGTGTGCTCCCCTGTGGATATGAGTTGTTGCCAACATGTCAACCTTTTATTTTGTATTTTAATTAAATACAGTTTATTTACTCTTTGAGCTCCTTGAGTCCTCCTGTTCCCGTATTCAACCCCATGAGATCCTGACACTCCTCTATTTATGGTCTTTTTGTTCGACTGAAATGTCTTTTCTGTCCAAACTGTGAATGTTTTTCAGATCCAGGGTTTTATGAGGGAACTGAAAGACGATTTGCACATGAATTTAGCTGCATAAACAGAGCATCTCATACACTTTAAAGTTTTCAACTCATTTTAAATTTAAAAAAATCAGTTGGAGGAAAAAAATGCATTCATCTACAAAACAGAAGTCACATTGCTTTATTTTGACACATTTATAAAGATTGGCCATGTCCTAGATCAGTGGTTCCCAAACTTTTTATCTTCTGACCCACAAACTATCCATGGCAAAAACTTGTGACCCCAAATATTACTGGTCTGAGGATACAAACTTTGTTAACAACCCTAAAAACACAGCCTTTTTGACAATCTAAATAGCTTGTACACAAATATAAATACTTATTTTTACTTATTTTGTGTTTTTGTAATAGTTATAGGAAAAATATTACATCAGAAATTATTTTATTACCCTTTAAATTGATTTCTGGAGATTATCCAAGGTGCTTCATGACCCATAATTGGGTCCTAAGCCCAGCTTTGGGCACCAAAGTGCAGTGGTTCCCAAACTTTTCAGCCTTTGACCCACAAAATAACAGTAGCAGAGACCTGTGCCACCAGCTATTTTTGGATGATAAACATTTGCATCAGGTCAACTAAACATGGGCATAGTAACAATATCTTTTATACTACATTTATCCATTTTAAAAACACTAACCTCACTCCTTTGTAACAACCAAGGAAAAAATGTAATTATTTCCTAAAATCTTTTCAGGACCCCAACTTGATGTTTCGGGACCCCACTTTGGGTCCCGACCCCAACTTTGAGAAACACTGTCCTAGATGACTCAGAATCTGGTTACTTTGTTATTCCATGAAGAAGAGAGTAGAGCTGTTTCCACTTGTGCTAATATCTCCAGCTGCTCTAATCAAACATGGATACCTGTTAATGACTCTATTACACCTGGCATTATACTCTGTCTCCAGCTGCAGTCAATCATGATCACTAACAGGAAGTTATTAGGTTTTGGTTTTATCAAGCTAAGAAAATTTAGTTTTGTCAAAGCAGTTCAGACCTAAGGAGCCCCTCCGGTGATACTGGATTAAAATAATGATAATGTTTTTATCTTGTGTCACCAGACGGCTCCATACAGAACAACCAGATGTTTGTGTTTTCAATGTTTTCATATTTTGTCTTATTTCAACTACATCATCTTCATCCTCACCTGTTCACCTTCATCCCCCTGATGTGTCCTCTGTGTGATCACTGTGATCCATCTTCATGCGTTCAGCCAAAGCTGGGTATCACATGTGTGAGTACCACATGTCTGTGTTCACGAAGACCCCCGGTGCCTCGTGTTTCTGTCCAAATGAAGGAATCCTCTGTCTGTTTCAGCTCACAAGCAGAAGAAGGTGGAGGCCCTGCAGCCCTGCGACACGGCATACCCTGGCTTCATGTACGATCCATCCATCAGAGAGGCCAACAGCCTCATCAAGTGTGGGCGCTGCCAGAAGTATGATACACACACACACGCACGCACGCACGCACGCACACACACGTTTGCACAGCTATCTAATTGGGGACATTCCATTGACTTCCATTACATTTCTACAGCCTAACCCTGACCACAAACCCTAAGGCTAACCTCACAGGTGAGGGTCACACCTGACCCTAAAACTAACCTGAACTCAATTCACACTTTGGTCCTAAACCCAACCGCCACACCCAAAATCAGCCTCCGAAGTTGTGGGGCCCAGGAGCACCCGGTCCCCACGATGCTGCATTTTCCTTAAAGGGATCCACCATTAACTGTAACATTAGACTTTATTTGATAAACATATATTTTAACTGTAAAATAAAGACTGTAAAAATACTATAGGCTGTTTAGTTTTGTAAATTTTTTAAAATATATTTTAACACGAATGGAGCCATTTTATTTACACGCAAAGCATTCTGGGTAAATGATGACATCAACTAGGTCATCGGTGCGAAGCTGCTAGTGAGCTATATCCACCCTGAAGKTTAATCTTGGACAATATCTGATGATCGACTCTTTTAAATGAAACCAGAGAGCGTTGACTGAGAGGAGAAGGTAGAAACGACTCAATATGTAACTGAAAATATAGATGGAGGACAACAGAGCTGCTTCATGGAAGAAGAACCTCAGCTTAGCCTGTTAGCCTTCGTGCTAGCCCTCACGCTATATTGCCTTATGTATTAGCTCGGCGCTAGCACGACAAACAAGCTAAACTGAGGTCCTCCATCCATATTTTCAGTTGCAGGCTGAGTCATTTCTACCTTCTCCTCTCTGTCAACGCTCTCTGGTTTCATTTAAAAGAGTCGATCATCAGATATTGTCCAAGATTAACCTTCAGGGTGGATATAGCTCACTAGCAGCCTCGTGCTGATGACCTAGTTGATGTCATCAATTTCCCAGAATGCTTTGCGTGTAAATAAAATGGCCCCATCCATGTAATATATTTTTAAACTTTTAGTTTAAAAATTATAAAAACTAAACATCCTACAGTATTTTTACAGTCTTTATTTTACAGTTAAAATATATGTTTATCAAATAAAGTCTAATGTTACAACTAATTGAGGATCCCTTTAAACATGGGCCCCACAATGTAGGAAAAACAAGGCCACACACACACACACACACAAACTTGTTTTTATATCTTTGTGGGGCCCATACATTGACTTCCATTCATTTTTTGGTAATTTTATATTCTAACCCTGACCACAAACCCTAAGGCTAACCTCACAGGTAACACCTGACCTTAAAACTAACCTAAACTCAATTCATACCTTGGTCCTAAACCCAATCCCCAACCCACCACAGGCATTTAAACCAAACGGGGACTCGACTTTTGTCCCAAAATGCACCAGTTGTCCCCAAAGGTAGGCATTTTGTCTTAAAATTGCCCCCAAATGTCACCAAAAACMCCCCCCCCCCACACACACACACAAACACGCAAACACACCCCGACCAACTAAACAGAAACATACTGTTTTTAGGATCAGTGTTTTAATTCAGACCACCTATCATGAACTAAGCAGCTGACCTTTACAGCGTGAGCACAATGACCTGATGCAACCTGAGACTTTTTTTCATTTGGACTTTTCTCACACTGTAAAGTCAAAAAGACAGCAATATTTCAGTTCCAGGGTTTTACACATCAAATCAACATGATCTAACCCAGTGGTTCCCAACCTTTTTAGACTTGTGTAACCCCTGAGCCTATTTGTCATACCACTAGTACCCCTTCAGTCAAACGTAGTGATTCTCCAAAACTATAATGTACTACAACTGATTATTTAATAAAAAAATTTTGTTTAACCCCCTAGAACGTTTAATTCTCAGGCATTTTTTTCAACTCAAACTAAACATAAAGATAAAAATGATGCCTTGAAAGTGAATAAGTAATTAATTAAATAAACCAGGTAATGGCAGGTGAAGGAACCAGCAGCATCCAAAATACATCAGAAATTCACCCAAATGAGCAAATTCTGTGAGATTCCACATTTTATACTGGATTCCATTTTGTGTTAATTCCATGATTCCGTCTGCAATTTCTGCACTGCGGAAATCATAGGGCCCTACAAATCTCAGTCCTATTTTTATTAATGTTTTTTACACGACGGAATTTTTTCCATGTACCATGTTGGGATTCATTGATCTAGTCTACCAGGAGCACTACAAATTCCACTGAGTTGTTATTAGAAAGCTAAAAGTACCAAAAGGCTATGAAAGTTAAAAGCAGAAATGGGTTAGCGAAAAGGAGAAAATGCTAACAAAAAGATTAAAGTTAGCAGAGGATAGTTAAATGCTAATAGTAAAATGTTAATTAATTAAATAACATGACAAGCTAAAAGTAGCACAATGCTAACTAGAAACAAAGTAATGAACGTGACAGATTCTGTCAAATAATTTGTTTGAAGTTTCTTTAAAAATCACATCACTTCATGGTGTTTGTTCTGATCATACAGTTGTCCTTGGATCTGGTTTTGTTCCAGACGATTTTCAGATGAAACCGACACGGCAACCTAAGTCGTGCTGCCGCGTCGGTTTTTAAAGAGGAGCTTCCTCCTGCAACCCCTTGAAAAAAGTTTTTTTAAAACTCATGATTTTACAAAAAAACGTATAAAATAAGATCTGTTTGGTCTTTTTTCTCTTCAGGTTTTAAAGTAAAATGTGTGAATGATGTAAAATGTTCAGTTCGCAGATAGAGTGTTATGTTGGGTCTGCTGGTTTGATGTTATAACAACAAATTAAAAAAGTTGTGAAATTTCACAATGAGCCACAATCAGCTCCATACTAATATAATAAAACTAAAGACTCTGTGAACTGGTCTGTGTTTCAGGATGTTCGTGGTGCAGCAGGTTCCTGACAGTAACTTGGTTCTGATTGTGATCCAAGCTGACTGCGACTGCTCTCGTCAGTTTGGACCCATCCTGCTGGAGCCCAAAGAGATCAAATATATCCTTCACTCGTGCAGTCCAAGTAGCAGACAGAACATTCAGGACCTGCTGTCCAGTCCACAGAGTTCAGAAGGACAACAAGACTGAGGTCATGTGATCTTAGATCTTTTGCTCCAGTCTAACAACAACCATCAGTACTCTGTCAGGTTTCTCACCCAGTTGTCAGCAGCCTGGTTTCCTTAATGTCTCTGAACATAACGCCACTGTGAAGTGTAACAGGATGAAGTCGCAGAAGGCCCGGCGGCGCCCAGAGTCCTGCCATGCCTACCACCCAAAGGTCAGTGTGGGGTTATCACATGTCCCTGAACGTTTGACATTAAAGCATAGATACAGAACAGAGAGATCAGAAACAAACGGCTGATGCTGGCATGAGAAAAGGAGAAAATCACTGCAGATTTTTAAAAGAAATGAAATAAATTGAACTTGAAAAATGAATCTCCTACCATGCTGCATGCTCAGGGTTTCAATAAAGATTTATTAACAATACATAATACCACCTGGTATGTGCCTGCTACTTACCTGCTCCAGACTGATTTATGAGGAAATTTCTTAAATCCTGACTTTTACTTTTGTTATTTTGTTACTGAATCAAGTTAGAACAGGTTCCACTGAACTGAGTTGGTGAAACCAGTTTGATTCAATAAATTCAACACTTCATTTCTTAGAGCGTGTAAAAGTTCTTTTACTTTCCCGATTATCGTGAGCAGTTTTATGACTGTTTTACTTTTTTTAACAGTGAATTCATTTTCTGTTATGGTATGTTTAATTTTACTTAATTATTTTTTTCAAGTACTTTATTACTTTATACCTCTCCTACTTCATCCTTCCATCACTCATGAAAAAGATGCCAAAAGACTTAAACTTCTCCAGCTGGGACACATCCCACTCACACAAATTCAAATCAAAACATTAAAAGTTTATTTTGACCGCTGTTATTGCAGTAAAATCCATCCACTGGCTCATGAGATATTTTGCTAACAGACATAATAAACTTTTCGTGGCAGTGGATGATGATGACCGAATCATTTCGCAGGGTAAATGTTGGATTTCTGTGCTTTGTTCACCAGGAGAACGCTAAAGAGTGTGGCAAAGCTTCGTCCACCAGCCTGTCCTCCGTGCTGCTCTCTGCCAATCTGCTGCTGCTGCTGGTCCGTCTCTGCTGGGAATAAACCAGGACAAGAAAAAAAATAAGGGGCAGGGATTTAGAAATGTAAAGAAGGCACTTTTTAATTTTTTTTCTTTTGTGTGAGATGTGTTCATACACAAAAGTGTTGTCTCTCCTGCACAAAGAGCTCAGGGTTTCATTTCTGAAAGTAAAGATATTAGTTTCTGATTTCTGCACACAGATAAATAGTTTAGATCAGTTTTGATCTGGGTTTGTTCATAAGGAACACCACATTTGAATAAAGGTGTCTCTGTAAGCATCACCTTGGTGAAGAAGCAAAGTTGTCAGCTGATCGCCACCTGGTGGTGAGTTGGATCTGATGCTGGGCAGACCTGGTAGACCTAAAACGTAGTGAGGGTTTGCTGGGACGAACCCATCAGAAGGATTTTTAATTCTCACCTCAGACAGAGCTTCAACTGCATCCCAGTGGATCCAGTGGTGAACTGGGCCAGTAAGCTAAAGTGATAGTCCTATCGGACCTTGTAACTGGTAGGACTTCAGAGGCAGCTGAGGGGTATTTGTGGACTAAATAAGCTACAGCTCTGGTTGTTGCTGAAATAAAAGCTTGCTTGTTGGAGTTTGTGAGGCCTGGATTACAGACTCACAATCAGCTCCAAAAAGATTCTAGCAAACTGTCAGGCAGCTGAGATGGACGGAGCAGCACTTTACCAACACTGTGTGTTAACGGAGTGGAAGGAACACTTCAAGGACCACCGCAGTTCCACCAGCATGTCTTCCACTGAAGAAGCAGAGTCTGGAGACTTTTGGGTGGGTCTGTTCATAACCAGGGCTGAAATCACTAAAGCTCTGCAGCAGCAGCAGGGCTCCTGAGTGGACAAGATCTGACCTAAGTTCCTCAACGCTCTGGATGTTGTGGGGTTAATTTGATCGACACACCTTTGCAACATCATGTGGACATTAGGGGCAGTGACACTGGTGAAGTGGGCTGGTTTGCCTTTTCAAGAAGAGGGACTGGAGGGTCTGCTCCAATCAGGGTTGCCAGATTGGACTGACAGTTTCCAGCCCAAACACAACATAAAACCCGCCCAACCACAAAAAACCAGCCCAAATCAGATAAATCAGATCTCCGTTGAGACTCACGTTATAAAAACCTAGAACTATAGATAGATAGATAGATAGATAGATAGATAGATAGATAGATAGATAGATAGAACTGTGTTTATCTAATATACATGTGTGTGTATATTATACTAATAAAGAATACACCATTAGCACACATCTGCATTGAATCATTACATTTGTAGCACTGAAAAGATAGTGTTTTATAGAGTGACACTCATCGTTAGAATGAAATAAACAGATCGGGTAAAGGTGTTCGCTGCAATCATATGCATAAAAAAGTAAACTAATAGCCCTTGGATTGTTTTGCAGAAGGAGGGGGTAGGTCCTCAGAATCTCAGAAACCCAGTCTCCTCTCTATTTGGTGCATTTATAGTTGATATTAACCAATACCATTTTGTAGTGACACTTGATATTTTGATACAATTTCCTTATGAATACTTTCTAAAAACCTGCCAAACGTGGTAAAAAGCTGCCCAAATTTTAACAACCAGCCCAAAGCTGTTTTTTTCCAGCCCAACAAGTTCAAAAGCAGCCCAATTGGGCAGAAACCAGCCCAATCTGGCGACACTGGCTCCAATTACATGTGAATCACACTCCTCAACCTCACCGCTAAGATTTATTCAGGGGTGCTGGAGAAGAGTTGATGGTTTAAGCTCAGATTCAAGAGGAACAATGTGTACCAACCATGGAAGTCTGGATCAGGGCTTTTACCCTTGAGGAGCCATGGGAGTTTGCCTAAGCTTTCTGTACATGTGCTTTGTGAACTGGAAGAAGAAATTCAGCTATGTTCTCCCGGGTGTCCTGTAGGATTGGGAGTCTGTTGCTAAAATCCATAAGGCCCCTGTACAAACAGTAAGAGTCTGGTTCACGTTGATGGCAGGAAATCAAACCTCCTCAGGGTGAGAGTCAAACACAAACTGCAGATCATTTGCTGTTCCTAAACAAGACGGTAGCATCAACAGCTTTTTGATAAGGACCTGATTTTACACAGGTTCAGACTGTGTGACCTGCTTACTAAAATCTCTTACAGCTTTAAGAACAGTTGAGAGTGGCCAAGAGTCAAAACCAGAATAACAACTTTATGCAAAAGCCTAGTTTTTGCAGATAAAACGTTTTTCTGAAATACTTTTAAAAAACATTGTTATGAAAACGTTCAGTGTGTCATAAAGACACAATTTGTTCCTTTCTCTTCAGTTGAACTGATGAAAAACATCAATTAAACTAAACACAAATTAAGTTAATTTGAGTGGAGAAACTGGTTGTTGAGTCAAGAACTGATTACTGAGTATCTTAATCTTGAGTCAAGAGTGTGGATTCCTTTACTCACCATGGAAAAAGCATATCTAATTAATTTACAATGATCAAGTACTTAGCATATTTGGTGTTCATAAATGAACTAAATCTGATCTTTTGTACTTACCAAACAGGGATGCAGTGCAGCAGGAATGAATGATATCACAGGTCTGCTAAGCTCTACAACTGTCCCATCCTGCATTCTTCAGTAATGTAGCTACATGTATTTGTACTGTAGCAGTTTGGAACAGGCATTTTGGATGGATATAGTGAACAGGTGATGAATATGTTTTGCAAACAGCCCAGACAGAAAAGAAGCAGAGAAACATATTAAACAATAGGTTCAGAATAACAAAAACTTGTCTGTTTGAAACCAGCAGCACCACAGCTTTTACACACATGGCTGATTTATTTGTTATTGTGTACAGTGCCCTGAGACAACAGTTGTTGTGACTTGGCACTATATAAATAAACTGAATTTAATTGAATTTATATCAGACAGCTGATGCAGGTATGGCAGGAAGTTGTATAATTTAAGCAACACTTTGAAGTCACTTGTATATTTATTAAATATCACTGACATGAAACATTTATTTCTCACTAGCAATCGGTGAGCTGAGAAGTTTGAGTGTTTTCACATTAGATGTTCAGTTCTGAGTTTTTTATATTTTGCATGAAGGTTTGAACAAAACACTTGGTGTTATTTTTATTTTATTTCTTTTTTTGTAATATTTCTTACAAGAAACCTCTTTAGAGTTTGTCACACTTTGTTTGGGTTGTGGCTTTGTCTTACAGTTCAGATTGGATAAAAAATAAAGATAGTAAAATATGACTTCTTTTTTTTTTCATTTTGAGGTGAATTTACCAGTTGACCAATCCTACATTGCTTTGAATACAAACAGTTAGAAGTGTGACCCTCAAACTGAGGTACTGTTACACCCCTAGTACTAAAAAGAAGACCTGTTACCAGTGCACAGTTCAAAAGTCTGACTCTCTGATGGTATAGGCGTACATTGACAAGAGGAAGGAACAGACATTCGTCAAAAGTACCGAGAAATGGGAGAGGGCGTGTTTAGGAGAAAAGGCTTATCGAATGCTGCGAGACAAACAATGCAGAAAAGTACATACATGAGAGTTTGTATCAATAATTACATTTCCATCCATCCATTATCTATACCTGCTTCCTTCTTTCAGGGTCACTGGTGCCCATATCCAGCAGTCACAGTGCAGTGAGGGGCAGGGTACACCCTGGACAGGTTGCAAGTCCATCACAAATAACAATTACATTTTCACATGAAAAAAATAGCTTAAATAAAAAAAGTGATTTTCATTCATGACAGGTTTGATCACATGAGTCTATTTTTTAAATGATACTTTGATTTATTAGTTTAAGAATTTCACAGTTCATCTACCTGGCTCTGGACGGATGGTTTACGATTTAAAAAACAAACAAACTAATAACCACTAAATAAACCCCAGGTAATCTCAGGATTATTTAGTTATCGTGACCATTAGTTAGGAATACAGACCTGATCCTGTGTTGTACTGATCAGGGATCAAAGTATAGCAGTTCCATACAGGTATTAGACCTCCTGACCCCCTGGAAATTCAGCCACATGGACTGCAGTGAGCATGGGAAAATTTACACAAATGAAAAATGTGAAATGTTGGAAGAACGTTTTCTGTAAGCTTGTGTGAAATAAAGCAGAATCAAATGAAAGGGAGCGATTTATTTATTTATTTTTCTGATAACTGTTTCACTTTATCTACTGAGTTCTAAGATCACTTGTCTCCTGTTGGCTGATGAAGCAAACCTGGTCAAACACATCTTGTGTTCATCAGGACCACAACGTCTGCAGACACTACTGTGACCATGCTGTAACACTTTTTTCTTATTTTTGTTCTTCTTTGCTCAATTTTAAGTAAGAGAAGAGAAATTTTTGATCTGTTAGCACTCAGTGTTGGGGATGACTCTGCTAGGAACGCAATAAAAGTAAAGACAGATTGAGTTAAAGATTTTTTTAAGCAGTGCTGTAAAAACATTTCAACATCTGCTGTAACACATAAATATTTATGTGCTTCTCATTCTTCACCCTGCTGAGTTTAAAAGTTGTGTTTCGACGTCTCCTGCAGTGAATTTTACACATTTTCTGATGGAGATTAGAGATAACGAGCAAAGAAAATCAAAAATCAAAATGAAAAAATAAATAGGTCCTCTGGACCTATTTAGCACCTATAGAGCACAGAAATTCAACTCCTGGACTCATCACTCAGCAACATTCAAACCTAGGTTTCCACATATCTTGAAAGTGCAACATACAGAGAAATGAAACTGAAACTCCTGGTTTTAGACCACAATAATTTATTAGTATAGCGCAGGGCCTCCTTTTGAAGTCAATACGGTATCAGTTCATCTTGGGAAAGACATATACAAGTCCTGCATAGTGATCAGAGGGATTTTAAGCCATTCTTCTTGCAGGATAGTGGCCAGGTCACTATGTGATGCTGTTGGAGGAAAACATTTCCTGACTCGCTCCTCCAAAACACCCCAAAGTGGCTCAATAATATTTAGATCTGGTGACTGCAGGCCATGGGAGATGTTCAACTTCACTTTCATGTTCATCAAACCAATCTTTCACCAGTCTTGCAGTACTGATACACGGCACCGCCTTCAGTAAACAATGTTTGAACCATTGGATGCACATGGTCCCCCAGAAATGTTCGGTAGACCTCGGCAGTGACGCGCCCATCTGGCACAAGTATTGGGCCATGATATGGCAGCCCAAACCATCAATGATTCACCCCCATGCTTCACTCTGGGCATGCAACAGTCTAGGTGGTACGCTTCTTTGGGGCTTCTCCACACCGTAACTATCTCGGATGTGGGGAAAACATTAAAGGTGGACTCATCAGAGAACAATACGTTTCACATTGTCCACAGCTCAAGATTTGTGCTCCTTGCACGATTTAAACTGACATTTGGCACGAGTGACCAAAGGTTTGGCTATAGCAGTCCAGCCATGTATATTGACCCTGTGGAGCTCCTGATGGACAGTTCTGGTGGAAACAGGAGAGTTGAGGTGCACATTTAATTCTGCTGTGATTTTATGTTTTTTGGATACAGTCCGGGTTAACACCCACACATCCATTTCAGACAGCTTTCTCTTGCGTCCACAGTTAATCCTGTTGGATGTGGTTGGTCCTTCTTGGTGGTATGCTGACATTACCCTGGATACCGTGGCTCTTGATGCATCACAAAGACTTGCTGTCTTGGTCACAAATGCACCAACAAGACGTGCACCAACAGTTTGTTCTCTTTTGAACTCTGGTATGTCACCCATAATGTTGTGTGCATTGCAATATTTTGAGCAAAACTGTGCTCTTACCCTGCTAATTGAACCTTTTACTGGTGCAATGTGCAATTAATGAAGATTGACCACCAGGCTGGTCCAGTTTAGCCATGAAACCTCCCACACAAAAATGACAGGTGTTTCAGTTTCACTGTCTAACACCTGTATCTAAAAGAGTTAATAAAATACAGAATAAGAGTCCTGCTGTAAAATTAAACTGCAGCAACCAGCAAGCAACGTTCTGGTGATTATTTTGTTGAATTTTATCAGATACTTCACACAAAGGCAGATCTTTAATGACATTTAATAAAGTTCTGGTCTGGAGCTGCGTCACACAATTTACATGATTGTATTTTACAGCATCAAAACATAAAATCAATCAGACGTCTGTTGGGTTGTGTGAAGCAGGTGAACATTTCTCCTGCAGGAACCTGAAGAAAAAGGAAAATATTGAAACTAGAAGAATTTCTGACCTGAAGCTTCTCCTCTGTGTTCTCAGGACAGACATGAGGGAGGATTCCCTCTTTAATAAAATATATAAAAAGAGTCAGTGTTTCCACAGTTTGTGTGCATTATGCACTCAGTTCTGGAATATTCCAGCCAGCTGCTGTAGCTGCTTTAACACTTTTTGTTTGAACAGAAACAAAAAAGTCGAGTGAAGGTTTTCTGAACCAGTTTTTTCTGTCTGAGTGCTCCAGCCTCTACACGACCTGCTGTTTGTCCGGGGTCAGACTCGTTTCCTCAGGCTCCTCTCCTCTCTCCTTATTCCAGTCTCTGAGACCCTCTGGGAGGCTCGTGTCCTCCTCCAAGCTCCCTGTTCCCTCCACAAACTCCTCATATGTAGACTTCTCCTGGAAGGGACGCTGGCCCAGCAGCTCCACCATGTCAGCCTTGTCCAGCACCTCCTTCTCCAGCAGACGTTTCCCCACCTGAGGACGTGAACAGGAATAAGCTTTCACAGATAAACCCAGTTTGAGACGAGAAACCAATCAGTGGCAATAAACTCGTTTATTTTTATTTAAAACAATCTGATGAGTTTGTTAAATTGACCCCATTTAGTGATGCAGAAAGTGTGTTAGAAGAATAAAATGAAAAACACTGAACACCTGACAGCTGTTATGCTTTTAAATAACACAGGTTCCCACACCTTGGTCAACATCAAATTCAATGACCTTTCAAGGACTTTCCAGTACCAATTTCCTCAAATTAAAGAGCCACGCGCAACGGCAATTTACTGCTACCAATAAACAGGATCATGTAAATTCAGTGAAAAACTGAACAACATAGAAATTGTTGAGTCAGAAACAATGACGTCAGTTTACCGTAATCCTGAGCTATCCACTGCAACAAATGTAAGTTTTTAATTTAAATTTTATAATTTATTTTTCTTAAAAGATGATGAAAATCAGTCGTGTGAATAAAAGAGGTTTAATCTCATGTAAATTCAATGAAAATCTGAACAACATAGAAGTTGTTGAGTCAGAAACAATGACGTCAGTTTACCGTAATCCTGAGCTATCCACTGCAACAAATGTGTTTTTTTAATTTAAATTTTATAATTTATTTTTCTTAAAAGATGATGAAAATCAGTCGTGTGAATAAAAGAACTTCAATCCCCAAAAAAACATTCAAGGACTTTCAAGGACAAGTGTAATTTTTGGCTGTTTTCACAAACTTTCCAGGGCCCTGATATCCTTTTTTTCAAATTCACAAACTTTCAAGGATTTCAAGGATCCGTGGGAACCCTGATAACATTTTTTCCAATGAGATAGTATGCGCTGTGAGGTGGGTGTTCACATTCCAGACACTGTTGTGAGGAGAGGTTCCTTATTTCCAGGGGTCCTCTCCTCCTTCAGAGTGTTCCCACTCTGAGGAGAGTGTAATGGGTCTCAGGGGACTAAATGTTTTTACATATAGACTTCTAATATGTATGAAGTGAGAAAGTCTCACCATCTCCACCATGTCCTTCTTGTCCTTGATGAGCTGAAGGGTGCATTCGTACGCTCGGTCCACCAGACTGCGGACCTCCTGATCAATCAGCTCTGCGGTGGCCTCGCTGTATGGCTTCTCCATGACCATCTCCCCCTGACGAGGGAGGTCAAACGAAATCTGGCCCACTTTCTCGCTCATTCCAAACTGCACCACCTGAAACCAGGACCAGTGGGGGGTCACAACACATACAGTGTGTCTGCACAGAATGGACAGAGTCAGAACACTAACCTGAGCGTAGGCGGACTGGGTGACCTTTTTCAGGTCATCCTGAGCTCCGGTGGTGATGCGACTGAAGAAGACCTCCTCGGCCACGCGCCCTCCCAACATCATGCACATTCTGTCGAACAGCTGCTCTCTGGTGTAAAGGTACTGCTCTCTGGGTAAGTACTGAGCGTAACCCAGACCCTTTCCCCGCGGGATGATCGACACCTGCACACAAAACACCAAGTCTCAGAAATAGTGAGCCTCACTTTGAAATGAACCTGGTCAGTTTCATGTTTCACTGCTGTGCCTCATAACTGCTTCAAAATAAAAAGAATGACGTGGAGTGAAAGGAGAAAAAGAGTGCAACAGACCAAGAGGACGTTGTGGATAAAGGAGAACAAGACACGTCACCATCAGTTTTTTTTCTCCTAGTCTTTATTTCAAATAGGTAAAAAATAAAAACTACTACTGGGTATAGATTAAAATTTTGATCGTGATTAATCTCAAGATATTTTTGCGATTAATCGCAATGAATTTTTTTAGAAACAATGGGCCTCATGCAATAACTGTTCGTACGCTCAGATTTGTTCTTAAGTTGTGCGTACGAGTGATTTAGRAGAATTTGTGGCATTCACCAATGTTTTCGTATTCTAAGATTTTTTTCAGATATGAACAAAATTCACGAGTGGTCCAGACCTGTCGTATATTTTACGTGCAGTCAGTCTGCTGTTATCAGACGGATTTTCCTCCCTAATAACTTTATATTTCGTTAGTTAGAAAATATTGAGTTGAAAATAAATCACACTCCACAATTATGTTGACAATAGGTT